ATAATATGTTTTTTTCTTTGACGGCACTGAATAATTTTAGCCGAAACCTGAGCCGTACATTTGTTGAATGCCGCGCTTTTTAATTAAATTTCTCGCCCTAGAATGATGACATGATGGCGCGAAAATTGACGCCTCTATCGTGTTAGATGCGAAATATGATCAGAGATAAATGGAATAGTGAATGTTACAAGCTTCTGAGTATCCAGCTGAGATAGGGGACTTTTAGTCCCCTATCTCAGCTAGATAAACAAATTTTTTTTGGTTGCTAAAACGGTGCGGCTCGTTATGCCATTGTTCCTAAATAGCAAGGGCCAACGTAGGAAACAAAGGTGCCGGATCCTAATGGATCCAGTCAACAAAATTTTTGTTTTGTTTTTTAAAATTATTGTGTGCTTATTTAACTTTGGCCATGTATATTCTCTTGAATATTTTACAAAAAATTGCTACTAGGAATAATCACCAGGAATCATTGCAAAGTTTTTTAGATCGAGACCGATATATATCTGACTGGGTTTGATGCGATAGAAGGGCCTGCAGTCAGTCTCGAAGAGAACCAAATCCAAGCACCAAGTCCTCACCCTCCCCACCCATGACAGTCACTATATACTAGTCAATCACTGCCACTAGCATTATGATTATCATGAGCGCAATGATTTGGTTGGGCTAGCCCTCAGGGAGTATTCCTTAACTTTGCACTGCTTTCTACGGTAACTTGAAACTCTAATTAAAGTGTCAAAAGGTTCCCCACCCCGTTACTTTTGATACAGAGCTGCTAGCTACCCACGCACAGAAGGTCTGTCCTTGGGTCTGTCCCTTGCCGGCACCAAGCTTCACGGCAAGCCCCATCCATTTGCTCGGGATTTGTTTCGGCTACCCTGGCTTAAAACCAGGCGATGCTTGAGTTCAAGCAAGAGAGGATAAAGTTCAATGTAAAACCTGGCGGGCACGTTTTAGCAGATTCAGACAGATATAGATCGCCAGAAAGATTTCAATACTGAAATAAACAGAATAAAATCCTCAACTGTGGAAAATTTTCAGCGATCGCTGACTTTTATTCATATCTTCGGACTGCGTCGTTAGTTTATCGTCAGGCACCGAACTTCAGTGAATCGGGATTCACCCAATCAAATTGCAGAAACGAAAACAGCACACGGAACCGAACTGGTTCTGAACTGGCGAAAAGCGCGGGAAGACGCGGAAATTAGTTTAGTTGGTATTTTTTCCAAACAACACACAAAACGACATGGTGCGCTGGCAAACGTTTGTATCAATTTTCCTTCCATCTGTTGTAGAATCTGTCTGTACAATGTTTTTCGTTTTGATCGGGTGCAGCTCAACCATCTCCTGGCCGCAGGAAGAAACTGGCCCAAACCTCGTCAGCATTTCTTTGTGTTTTGGTCTGTCGTACGCATTTTTGGTGAACATCTCGAATTGTTTTAGCAATGGATTTATTAACCCTGCAATAACCATGGCATTAGTGGTGAACAAAACTCTGTCAGTGACAAAAGGTTTTTGCTTTATTTCGGCACATCTTGTCGGAGGTAAAATTTTCAGTCAAGTTTAATGAGGGTGTGTAAGAATAAGTGCCTTAAATCTTTTTCAACAGCGATGATCGGTGAGAGCGGTAAAAGCCAGTTTAAAAATTATAATTGAAACTTTGCATTGGCTCTGACTTGCATGCATGTCACATTGGGTGCATTGAATGCAATTTTTGCATCTTCACTGTTGTAAATAGGTGTTCTAATAATGTAGCGACTGAAAAAAGGTTCTATTAGCAGGCGATGGTTGAATTCTTTCAAGATTGCTTCAAAAAGAAGGAGGATAATTTTACATTCCTGGCAAATGACATCACTAATATACCTGCCAGTATCGCCTTTGTTCATTTAATTTGTCCTGCCAAATCAGACTTAATTCTCTGTGTAACCCCCCTTTTTTGAATATGAAAAAATTAAATGGTACAAGGAAGATAGTCTTTTTGGTTTGTACAAAAAGTGTTGAAAAAGAATAATATTCATTTTGGGGGGCAAGGGATGGCGCAACACTCACCTCCCACTAATGTGGCCCGGCTGTGGACGCCATGTGTGGGTTGAGTTTGTTCTTGGTTCTCTCCTTTGCTCTGAGAGGTTTTTCTTCGCATACTGTGGTTTTCCCCTCTCCTCAAAAACCAATGTTTCCAAATTCCAATTCGACCTGGAATTAGGTAGACGAGGAACCACTTTGTGGATGTGCTACCTCCAAATCCTTATTATTATTAATATTATTATTATTATTATTATTATAAGGACCTAACAGCTGAACCCACGACTGGTTAGTACCAACCCAGCGAAACCTTTCATTTCAAACAGTGGCAAAGTAAAAATGCACAAAAAATTCCAAAATTTGTCTTTTGAAAATCCTAAGAAAACATAAGTAGTCTGCGAAAGTTCTGTCCAGGAAGTTTCATTTGAATGGTTACACTATAGTTCATCCACAGAATTTAACCTCAAACTGAGAATCATCTCAAGATAACTTGGATCAGTTATTTAGGGTGAAGGGGTTAAAATGTCATTTGTGATTGCCTTGCAGACTGCTTTAGACAGTAGTTTTAGGTTAACATAACTGAATCTAAAATTGCCTCAGGTTTATGTTCTGGTAATTAACAAGCAATTAAGGGAAAGAAAATCAAACTTTGGATGAGCAGCTGGACAAAAATGTAAGATGCAGATAAAGGAAAAAAAAAAGCTCTAATCAATATTTTCTTCTATTTTCCAGCTGTGATAGGAGCAGGACTTCTTTACTTGATTGTACCTTATGAGAGTCACGGTTTGCTTGGTGTGTCCCACATGAAGTCTGTTGCACCCCTGGTTGGTTTTGGAGTTGAGTTGCTGACCTCTTTGGTCATAATGTTAACAGTGCTGACCTGTACAGATGGAGGGGAAAGAGCTCTTGATACTTCAGCATCTCTGGTCATAGGAGCTGCCTTTACAGCATGCCATTTGTTTGCGGTAATGGCCATAATTTTATTGATACAATGCATTTGCTTCAATAACAGATTTAGATATACTGCATGACACAACACAGTTTGAAGCAAGGATTACCAGTTAAATGCATGGTGATTCCTTTAAGTGATCACTTTCCCCTTTTTCCTGATCTAAACATTGGGTACTTAAATGAGTTAAAACAGAATACAAAAGATGATGATGATGATTTTATAATGCCTGGTTTTACTTGTGTCCATGACTTCAACTCAATATTGATCATCCATTGCAATGTATTATGAACACTTTTGTCATTTTTTTACATGTTGACCAGTATCCTGTGACTGGGTGTGGAATCAACCCAGCTCGTTCTTTTGGCCCTGCAGTTTTCATGAACTATTGGACTGATCACTGGGTGAGTGACAAAGACCCACTTAATCTCCTCCTGTTTCTAGAAAACAGTGGGTTGTTGGTTCTAGCTGTTTTACATTATTTGAAGTGCATCCATGGCCTGTAATCTCCTTCCTTGTAACTTTTCACATCCTTCCCAAGGGTACTGACTATGTTATATGGGAAGGGACTAAGCCCCATTTGCAACCCCCAAACTTTGGTCAGCCTTTCACTAGCAGTCCTCTCTACATGGCATGCATGTCACCTAACAAGTCAAAGCTCATTGCCTGCAGATTACTGACATCCATTTTTACTGAATCTTGACGAGTCAGTATTCTTTAAAAGCAATTTTCTCAATTCTCACAGGCTTACTGGTTTGGTCCAATCATTGGTGCTCTATTTGCATCAGGAATCTACCACGTCGCACAAAACTTCCCTGTCACTACTGGAGATGAGCTTGTTATCACTGGGAAAGAAATCAAGAATGAAGCCAAGTCACAAGGTTTTGAACTAGAAGGTCATCAACATCCAAGCCAAGCTGACATGGAAACACAAACTCCTTATGAACTGAAAACAACAGTGTAGCATCCTTCAAGAATCTCATTTAGATACTTGACTTCACTTTTTGCATTGCTGTGATCAACGTGCAATGCATACTTGTATTTTTGGTTTCAGAATTCCCCACTTTGTAACAGATGTTGCTATTCAATACATTAAAATGATAAGTAAGTTGAACCCTTTCATGTTTGATGAATGAATATCTTTTAAGGGGGGAATACAATAAACTTAATAAACTGAGGAAAAGAAGTGATCTCTGATCACGTTCTTGGAAGACAATGTTGAACCAACAAAGCTGAAAATTGTGAAAAAACATATTTTATTTCAATTGGTTTTTTATCATCACATATAGAGCTAACATTAAAGGCAATGGGCCAGAATTTTGCCTGGCTCAGAATTTAAAAACAGACTACTTCTAATATCGTTTGAAACAATATACAGACCATTGCAGTTTTGAGTAAACTGAGATGTATTTTGAGTTGTTGAAAAATGATTAAAGCATTAATCCTAGGTTAGACAACATGACAAATCAGTGGCTAATTTACAGATAACTCAGAATTAAGGCAAAGCAAGCTTTAAAAAACTCAGCAATGATAACTAGCCTATGTTCTTTGTAAAGTTTTTGTTAAAATTATTTGTAGAAAAATATTATGATGACGAGTATTCACTAAATCACAAGCTTCAGAGCACGAATAAGCTAGAATGTCAATAGCCCACCTAGGATATATTAAAATTCTAACATGACTACGAGGCTTTCTTGTCATTTTTCTATATTTGGTTTGGTTTTCTCTGTGCTCAAGTCTCTTTTGGGAATTGTGAGACAAAGGAGTCATAAAAATTTTCAATTTTGACCCTAGAGCCTCGGATTCAGGTTAAAATTTCAATATGTTGAACATGGGGTATTACCAATTTTTATACACATATAAAATTTTCTAAGGGGTTGCACATGTTACAAGTCAAATTTGATTTCAGATTAAAGTTTCCTAACCTAGGTTGATTCTCAATTTCCTTTGTCTCCTAGCCCTAATTCATGATTAATCTGGGCTAGGGGACAAAGAAAATTGAGAATCAACCTACAATCTTAGACAAAATAATATGGAACAGCAAACCTCCATCACCCCAAATCAAGGAAGAAGCCACGCAAAAGCCAAAACGTGCCATTTTAAGATTGTCGGTTAACAAATTTTGACCAAAATCAAATTTGACCTGTAACACATACATATATTTCTTTATAATTTGTATAGACCATTAAGGCGTTTCATGGGTTCACAATAATTTACTACCAACCATTAATATATAATTTCAATGCAACCTGGAACCCACTTGAATATTGTAAGGGATTAACTAGGTCCCAAAAAAACAGACAAACTTGAATGCCAGCTTACCCTTTGGGCAAGTAGCTCTAACATTGTGCTTGCCCAGGGCGATTGCTTTCATATCTTCTAAAGTAAATAATATTATTTAGTTATAAGAATATCTGGGTCCACAGAGCAGTAGATGTTGAATTTCAAAATTCAAGTGAAGAAAATATTCTAGTACCGTACTTGATCTTGGAGCATTTTATCAAAACGTTTCCCTTTCTCACCATCGTGAATCCTTGGACAATTCTTTCTTATATACGTGGTCCAGTTGAGTACGTTGGCAGAGTTGTTTGAAAGAAGTTTTATACCTGAAAATTAAGGTTTAGTTACTTTAACAACTCACATGCCCCATTTGCAGTTAACCCACGATTACCACCCACCAACCAGGCTTCAAACAACTCAGTCCAGCAATTCATCAAAAATGCATCAGTAAAGAAATCAAAATTGCCATTTCTGTTTTGGATGAAACTCACCCAAGGTCCTGGTTGGTTGTTTGAAAAGTGGATAATGCTATCCACTGGATAAATCTCTAGCCGCTGTTTAAGGCAGTGACTGGTTTCCCTAAGACTTATCTTATCCACTGAATGAAAATTTATCCGGTGGATAGCACCATTCAACATTTGAACAACTACAGTCAACTCTCTTTAGGATGGACACCTTTGAAAAAAGCACTATATATCCGTTTTAGCAAGGCATCAATCTTATAGAGGTGTCTGTTAAGGGAGAGTTAACTGTACCCTAGAAAAAGGTTTGGCTAAAATGCCCCTGACTTGAAAGACACTACCCCATTCCTCTCTCTGGGCTATAGTGATGGAACACGATACAAAATAGTCGCAGGCTACTGAAATGTTCATGGTTTTGTTTCACACTACTTCATAGAGCTCTTCTTTCGGCTCTTCTTCATGGTCTTCTCTTTTTCTTTTTTGGGTGGAGGAGTGACACCAGATGCAATGTGTCGCTCATACAAACTGAAAATAAACAGACAACGGTGAGAATGGTGCTAAAATGGACTGTGATGAGCCATGGCAAGAAGAAACATTTGCATGCCACAGTGAAATCAGAAAAATTCTCAATTTTATAAAGCATTAAATTTTGCCTAAAATTTTCAGAAAAATAATATAATACTGAAGCCCTTGTAATTTTGAAAAGACTTAATTTCCCCTAGGATGACCGAACAGATACAAATTTTATAGTACTGCTTAGAATACATTTCTAGAGATCTAAAAGTACTCCAGATAGCCTAAAAAGTGTTTTCAATGTATTTTGGAGGAAACTGGCGTTGGGTGCCCCTGATGTGTCCCCTCTCCTGTACTGTGTTCCCATCATAATCATGTAGAATACTCTGTTTTATTGACATGAATATTGTTAAAAAATGAAGTGAATCTTTCCTCGTCAACTAACCTTTTGTATCCATCTGTCTTGATGTACTCAAACACATGTGATGGACCTAAAACAATTTGGTCTTCCAGCTGTTGTAACCATGCATTTCCTTCAGCTCTGAACACATGACGAGGGTTGGCCATGTCAAGCTCACCTTTGCAAAACCAAAACCAATGACACAAGTTTAGTTTAATATATACCAGTCCAAGCCAGGCATATGTGCTCTACTTTTAAAGGCACTTTTTTGAGGCAATCTCCCTATTCACCTTCAGATCTAACTTACAGAAAGTCTAAGTTTAACTCATCCATTCATCCATCCGTGAAGTGATGCAATTATAATTCTGACGAACCAACCTCCATTAAGCAGTCACTTGTAATCAGCCTGAGACAGTGATTTTGTAAGAAATAGTTATGGTGAGTTCAGGGACTCATCATACAAAAAATTATGAGTCCCAGTTCAAAAAACAACGACTTGCTGAGAAACATCATTATAGAAGGAGAGCGCAAGTACTTGGAAAATAAATAAAATGATAACTGAATCTGAAGACAGACTCCAAAACTCTTTTACCCATTTACTGAAATTAAAATATAGTCCTTCTATTTAAACAACAAAAATTAATGTGGGGACTAAAATAAATATGCTTCATTAAACAAGAGCCACATTAACAGCCACAGAAATCACACATAGAGGATTTTCTAAAAAAAAAAACATCTTCATGTCGATCAATCTCTGCATTCAACAGGATGCATCTATTAAATTATTTTGTGTCGTTGGGGATTTTTATGCATCAGGGACGCAGGATGCAGAGGTAACAAAATCACTGCTGAGGGTGTCGCTTTAATTAATAACTGAGGCTTAAAGGTATTGAGTTTTCAAAATTATAATGTCAACAAAGATGCTGCGTGGGTACACCAAACCCCTAAGTCTGACCTTGTGCAGGGAAGAATGAACCTCTACTGAGTGGCCTGCAACCTCCATTAAGCAGTCACTTGCCGTCACCCTGAGGGTGTCGCTTATATAATGGAGGCTTCACGGAATTGAATCTTCAAATGTCAATAAAAAAGGTTCTGTGGGTACATGGCAGACCACTGAGACTTGCATGTATTGGGAATATAATGAGCTACGTACACTGTATGTGGTCCTGCTCTTACTGCTAAGATGAAAAGGAAAAATAGTTTGTATGTAAGGTCATAAACTCACCTAGTTCAGGAGGAAGAGCTGTGAGCCTGTTGTTTTGCAGATGAAGTTCCTTTAGCCGTGTAAGGTTTCCAAGAGCTTTTGGTAATTCTACAAGATCATTGTCTCGGAGCACCAACTATAATAATAAAAGCAAAAGTTCATCAAGGATGTGCTGTAAGGAAATTGAATGGAGCCCAGAGCTCTGAACCTATAAATTCTAGGGTGCCCAGCATATAATTTGTATTATTATTGACTAAAAAAAAGAATGTTGACCTCTTTTTAGAGAATAACCCAATAACACCATAAATTGATTTGCACCCATCGCAAACTTGCAGATATTTGAACAAGAAATATAGCAATGATATTATGAAATTTGGCACCTTCCATATACAATGAATTAAACAGATCTCTGAGGGTTTTATCCTTTGTCTCTTGCAGCAAAATGTTGCACAAATTCAATCTGATTGATTCTGTGCGACTTGATGCTATGACAAAATTCTGTTGTGGGGACAAAAATTTTTTCAAAAATTCTCCAGTACACGCAAAGTGATTTGTCGCTGCAACTTGTTGCCGTGACTTGTTGCTGCAGCTTGTTGCCTGGTGCATTCCATCCCTAAGGTCTTTAAGTGCTGTTTTTGAAAAACATTCCCATTAAATGCCAACTTTTGTACCAAATATTGAGAACGACTGTATTACATGTAGCTGTACGAAACAGTTATCTTCTAAGGCAACAATCATTGTAGGAATAATAAATCATTACCACTTGAAGGTTTCGAAGCTCTCCTATCTCGTCAGGCAAAGTTTCAAAGTCATTATCACCAAGATACAGTGCACGTAACTGCTCTAAAAATAATAATAACCAAAAATAACTTTTTTCATAAGCTAGAAAGAATGGTGCCATCTATCAAAACAATGAAAATAACTTCCTAGTTGCCGGCATTTTGCTCCAAGGATTTCTCTGAAATTTCTCTGGCATATTTATTAGATCAAAAAAAACTGATGTACCAGAAATTTCAGTAAAAAGTATCAGCAAAATTTTTTACTAGATGCGGTTTCCTTTGAACAGTAGGGCCCATTTAAGCACTAATTTCGCAAAATATATTTACCAACAATGAAATTGGAATATTTCATGGCACTTGAATATTAGTGTAGTACAATTTCATATTTCACTTACTCATAACAGAAAAGTTTCCTGGTAGAGATTCTTTTTGAAGATTGTTATAAGTTAAATCCAAGATTTCCAAACCAGAGGCGGTTCCCAAACCTCTGGGTAAGGAACTAAGGCGATTGACCCTGAATGATGTAAAAGATTAGGAACAAAGATTAGTACAGTCAGTTAGTCGGTAACCCTCTGTGAGGGAGGTTCTAAATTTGATTTCCAAGTGTGACCTCAAATCCTTGCTTTCCTTTCTGAGTAGCTTTGTGTAGCTTTAAATTCCCCCAAAATGGGGCAGTTATGAAGAGAGTTAGTAAAATGAGGGCACTGTCAGTTTGAGGTTTGTCAGTCTGATGAGTACTGTTACGAGTTACCAAGATCAAAATAATATGGACCTTTGACTTTTAAAATCAAACTCAGGAAGATGAAAATAACATTTCAATAAATATCTGAATAATGTTCCTGCTTGCATAATAATAAGTTATGAGTACTTCTCTAACAAAAATTTGCAGTGTATAGAAATCGTAAAATCCTGACTTTTTACAGGAAAGAACCCTCCCAAAAGGTAGGTACATATAACACACCCTTACACATAGTCATAAACATAATTTAAGAAATACTTACGCAGCATTAAAATGTCGCAGTTTTTTTAAATTACCTAAAGACATCGGAAGCTCCTACAGAAACAAAAAAGAAAAAAATAGACATTATATTACCTACGTGAGAGTGTGGTACTAAAGAAATAGAGAACAATAACATTTTTACCTCAATGTGATTATTGAAGACATTTAGATATTCCAGGCTTTCAAGGCCACCTATGGATTCTGGAAGAGCTAAGGTGAAATACAAGACAAGTAATTTAACTCAAATGTGCCAAGTAACTTATAAAAGAGAACTGTATGCCGTGAACTATTAGACGCATGTATAGTGTACTATTATCTTCTGGTGAAGGTTTAATATGACATTTGCATTGGTCTATGCTGACAAACATGTCTCACATTCAGAAGGCAGGTGCATGTCCAAGCTGTATTGAATAGCCTAGATTTAAGCCATTTCATTTTTACACTGGCCCACAGATCGGCCCAGGCTCAACCTCCACCTGGATGTTTAGAATTCAAGATTATCAGAAACCAATAAAAAAGATCTTATCTTGGTTGCCCTGTGTTATGATTACATTAAATAATCTAATGCTGTAAATCCTCTATCAAGCCTCAAAAACATTTGAGGGGATGATTAATAAAGCTGGGGGCAGGGGGGGGGGCTTATTTAATTTAGCAATAACAATGGTATCAGTTGACTCCATAAAGAACTAGAATCAAAGTGGAAAAGATTAAGTACAATGGTTGGAGGTCATGCATTCAAGGATAAAAAACAAATCCACATATCCAGCTGGTGAATAAACCATTCTGGATCAGTCCCCACTAAGTGCATGTATTACAGTAGCCAACAGTCTGTAATACATGAACGTAGTGGGGATTGTGATTGATAAATATACTACAGAGTTCTCAAAAAGATTTGAAGTAGGCATACCTAACCTTAAGTAGACGTCTGTGACAAACAAAAGGGCTGTACACGAGGAAGGGAAAAACAGCAAATACCGGTAGAATGCAAAGTAAGCAGCTACATACAAATTCCAAAGTAGGCAGTGACCGATCACTGGGTGACAGCTTAGATGTATTGAGAACCCTGCAGTATGTCATTTATTTTAGAGAGGGGTGGTGGGGGAGGGGGGGGGGAGGAGCAGGCTTAATAGAGGATTTACAGTATTAGAGAAAAACCTGGAGAGAAAACATTCAAAATCTTAGGTGCAACAAACATTTTCCCCATTTTGGCACTGGTCAAAGCTAAATTTAAACTGTGTAAAAGATCTCCATACAACACCAAACATTAATTTATCTACCGGTATTTATGCATGCCGCACTTTCATACTGTACTTATTCACTCAAATGGTCAATATGAATACTTCGAAACATGTGTGCATAATGAATATATGAAAATATTACCAAACTGTGTGTACATGAAAATAATTATTGATTTGAAGGTTGTGGAGGGGGTTAACAAAAATGGCATTTTGGCCTCAAATAATTGCTAACACTAACTACAGCTTTTATACAATGTACAACCTCACCTTCCCTCTAAGTCGGTTTTAACTTCTTCCATATAAAAATCACAAAAGAATTGGATTCCCAATTATCTTTCAAAATTTCGACAATTGTATTATACCAAAAACAGGACCTCATGTTTGGAGCGGAAGAGTCCTCTTTTAGGTATGCAGAGAATTTCCACATTTCTTCACACCCAAAGTGAGAATCTCAGATGCTCTTACATGTACATGTACATCTAAGATAATGATTCTCTACTCTTCTACTATAAAAACTTACATGTTAGTCTGTTATGACTTAGCGTAAGCCGCACCAGACTTCTTAACTGAGCTGAAATAAATTAAAGAAAAAACATATACATGTAAGGCTTTCACAGAAGACTGGCCAGGCCGGACTAAACCGTCGCATCGTTCTATATCCAAGAAACGCTTCCAAACTTACTCAATCCAGGGATATCCTTTATATTTGACAAGCCTTTGTCACATAGATCTATGTCAGTGTAGCCTTGCTCTTTGGCTTCCTCGACGAGCTTTTTTACAGACTTTGACATTTCGAAGATCACCAAACTCGAACTTCTTCACTGTGTTTTTCTTCCAGCGGCCTCTACGTCATGTATGCCAACAATAACCTTTCCTCGTCGCCAGACCTCTTGAAATATGTGAAGGAAAGATGGCGGTAACGCGACAAGCCAATCTGTTTTGATACGTTTGGATCACGAAATTTAAGGCTAAAAA